TTGAGACAAGCATTTTCCATTTGTTAAAAGCTTTTTTGAACATTAGAAATTTCAGTTACCGAGGAAAAAAATCCAAACTGTTGTTGGGGAAACGATAATACAATGCTATCTGGTGGCCAGATTGTGTAACTACATGTAGCAGGCTCTCATTAGAAATGTGAAATTATGCTGTTATAACCAGAAGGCTAGCCCAAAAAGGTGACAGTGTGTAAACAGGTAAGTAAGTTTTCTGTAGACAGGGTATGCATGTATATAAATCTCTGTTAAGAAGTAGATGGGTATGTGGATAGATAAATGACACAGCTTACAAACTACTACACTTTCAATACTGCGTATAAGAAAATATTGGTGGTGAGCTGGATCAACCGGCTGAATGAATGATTGTGATGCAGAGTGACATTAACAGTGTAGGTTCAATTCTTGTTCCACGTGAGGTCACCATAAAAAGGTTCTGCTTTCTCAACCTCACCCCTCTGCTGAGGCATGGTGGTTCTCAAATTCAACTCACCAGCAGTCGTCTCTCTCCAAGGAGAGAATAGCCTATGATTCTCTGGGACTAGGGAAACTTTCATTTCATTTCATCAAGGGAAATTAGAATATTTAACATGACATTACACAAATGCATCAGCAATCATCTGAACCAAGATTAATGATCACAACTTCAATTGGGATTCATCTTTTTAAAAAAAAACTTAAAAATAAAACATAGACATGTTGTCAGGATTTCACTGAGGTTTAAAAGAGTAGAGAGGGCAGATGAGATAAGCCAACATGTAATGTTGGCATTTTAAAAGCCTGGATATTCTAAGAGGAAGGGAAGCCTGGCATGCAGCTCACATCCTGACTTGTTCTCTCACTTCACTGCTCATTCACTCAGATTGATGAAATGCTGAGCAAAATAAATAGTTTTCGGCAGGGGGAGGAGATGGTGTTCAGTGTGAGAGCAATTTAGTACAACAAAACAACACATAACATCACAACAGAATTACTTTTCTTACTAAGTTGAGTGCTCACTTAGAATACCAACTAAAATACTATAATCCTACCACATCTAAGCAAACACTATTCCAAGTTATCTTTACAATAATGCTGCTTAGTTTTCATAGAATCCCTACAGTGTGCAAACAGGCCCTTTGGCCCAACAAGTCCACACCGAACCTCAGAGCATCACACCCAGACCCATCCCCCTATAATCCATCTAATCTACACCTCCCTGAACACTACAGGCAATTTAGCATGGCCAATCCACCTAACCTGCACATCTTTGGACTGTGGGAGGAAACCGGAGCACCAGAGGAAACCCACGCAGACACGGGGAGAATGTGCAAACTCCACACAGACAGTCGCCCGAGGGTGGAATCAAACCCAGGTCCCTGGCGCTGTGAGGCAGCAGCGCTAATCACTGTGCCACCCTTTTGTTATAGATTCCTTGGTTGGTTTTCTTTGTTTTGTCCCATAGCAGATTTTGATAGTTGCATTTGTATTCTCTCAAATTTCCACTATTTTACCCAGGCATACTGTTAAACAGTTCAAATTTGCAGTGAGAGAATGTGTTAACCAAGCTGACTTCATGCCTCTAAGTTTTTTTTATGCTTTTCTCTGGTGAAACCAGATTATGTGATGTTAGTATCCGAAGCATAAATCGTCCTGATTTTAACTCAAGGTCTATGTGTGTGGGCCAAGCAGTAAGTACATATTGCAGCTTGAGGGGAATATAGAGAGATGCTAACTCCTGAACTTCAGTTACCTATCCAAGATTGGACTCCAGGTCAAATCTGGTAGGAATTATTAGGTAGATAATCAGTGGGAAATGAGATTTAGAGTGGTAGGAGGCAGCTACTAGGGACACAAGGAAGCAGCTCCCAACAATAAGCAGTGATGGGGAGAAAGCCTGGCACAGATGGGCCAATGTTTCCTTGAAGTCTTGGTTCCTGATCCACAAGGAAAATATTACCTTTTTTTCTTACAACCTACTTTTTCATCCTGCTGCTGCCTAGCAACCAGATTTTACTGCAAGGTTTAGCTCTAAGTCCAGCCTGGAGTTAAAAATCACATTCTAATTGTATCTCGAACCTCAAATTTTGCACGTTTATCAGTTCCTGAGCTGCCTGCAACCAGTTCCCAAACTCGGAAGTTAAAATGACGATTATTGGACCATGGCTCACAACTCCTTTCCTAACAGTGTTGTGTGTATACCTACCCCACAAGAATTGGAGCAGCTCAAGACGTCTACTCATCACCACCTTCTGAATGAATGAGCAATAAATGCTGGACAATTTAAAAAAAAGGGAGATTGGCTTCTGCCCTTATCTCAAGCCACACAGGGATTGTTCTCATCAGTTAAAGCATTTAAAAATTGTCTTTAGTTTGTTTGAATGGCACAGAACAGAAAGTGCTGGAGAAACTCAGTTGGTTGAGCAATATCCATACAGAAAGAAACAAAGTTAATATTTTGAGTCCAAACACTGTATTGTGAGAGAGATAGTAGGAACTGCAGATGCTGGAGAATCTGAGATAACAAGGTGTAGAGCTG